GGAGGCCCGGGGCGAGCAGGGGCACTACCCATTCTGTGTCTCCAATCCCTCAGACCTTCCCCGGGAGTTTCTGAGAAGAGATCCCAGGGTCTGGCGGGTGTTTGGGATTCTGTGACCCCATTCTCCCAGGTACAGGGAGCGGCATCAGCCATGGTAAGTCATCGTAAGTGACTCAGGGCCTGGAGGCCGGGGCTCACAGCAGCTGTTTGGGATTGTGTGGCTCGCATCCTTCAGACCTATCCTGGGAGTTTCTGATCTGAGACTGAAAGGGCGAGCCTATGCTGGCCGACTCCATCTTGTTCTGTGTCCTCCACCTTGAGTGACTATGACCCCGACATGACCCCTTTCCCGGGAAAATCGCAGAAACCTCAGACCGATCCTCCTCCCCTTGAGTAACAACCTCCTGCTCACCCTTTCAAACTTCCTGATCAAAACACGCCCAGTGACCTGCGTAACAGGACTCCAACCCTTACCCAGCCAATCGGCCGAGGCCACGACCCTTACCCAGCCAATCGGCTGAGGCCACAGCCATTACCTCACCAACTGCCCCTAGACCCCTATAAAACCTTTGTGCTTTTGAAACTTGCTCTCTCTCCCTGGTATCTCACCGCGGCGTTGGTGCAGGTAGGGGATTGAGCTCCAGCTAGCTGGAATAAAGGCTCTTTTGCTTTTGCATGGGACTCGGCTCCCTGGTGGTCTTTGGGGATCACGAATTCTGGGCATAACAAGACCACAGGGTTTGTTGGCATTTTGTGATTCTAGCTTGTGTCTCCCTTGGGATTTTGTGCTCACTGCACAGCCCCTGGAGGGGCTGCTTGGGATTCTGTGTCTCCCATTTTTCGGACCATCCCCGGGAGTTTCTGAGCTGAGACCCCAGGTTCTGGAGGCTGTTTGGGATTCTGTGACACCTTTCTCTCAGGTACAGGGAGTGGCTTCAGCCATGGTGAGCCATGGTGAGTGACTCAAGGACTGGAGGCCCGGGGCGAGCAGCCCCCCGGGGCGAGCAGCCTGGAGATAATAAATATCAAAATAACATACATGCAAGTATGCCCCATAATGCAATGTTCCCAGGACAAAGTATCCATTACTACTGAACAATAAGTTATTTGGTTACCCTACTAATAGAAATTATATCTATATTTACATATGGAAAATTGAAAGGAGATACAAACTAATATATATAATACAAATAAAAATTATATGTACTAGGAACGCTGAGTGGCTCAGGTTAAGCATCTGACTTCGGCTCAGGTCATGATCTCTCAGTTTGTGAGTTTGAGCCCCAAGTCGGGCTCTGTGCTGACAGCTCAGAGCCTGGAGCCTGCTTTGGATTCTGTATCTTCCACTCTCTCTGCCCCTCCCCTGCTCTCTCTCTCTTCTCTCTCTCTCTCTCTCAAAAGTAAATAAACATTAAAACATTTTTTTAAAAAATTATATATACTATATACAATATAACATATTAAATTATATATATGCATTTTGACAGGACACCTACCTCCTGGTCTAAGTTAGCTGTGCAAGCTAATGGCTGTGTGCATGCTTGCAATCCAGTGAGAAGGAATTACACTTTCCTAGAAGTTTCATACTATATCACTACTTACATCTTATGTGTACTATTTGGACATATGGCCACACCATGTTGCAAGGGAGACTGGGAAATAGTTGTATTCCAATATAAATATTGTTTTTTTTTTAAATGTGTGATTAAAAGAATAAAGAACAGGGCTCTATTCCTAAAGAAGGGGAGATCAGATTTGGGAGAAGACAGCTGTGTCTGAGTAATGTATCAGGGGCCCATATGATAACGAGGAGCCTAGAGATGAGCAGGAAACCAAGGCAGCTCTGGAGGGGCAGACTGCAAGAACCAAAGCAGGTACCCAGGAGGAAGTTTGATCAGTACACTCTTGTTGTCACTGTGTCGAATGACTAGCCTCATGTTCATATGGCCCATGTTCATATGTCCCAGAATCAAGATCCTGGTCACTTACATGTGAAAGCTAAAAAAACTGAACTCACAGAGAATAGATGGGTGGTTGCCAAAGGTGGAGTTAGGGGTCGGTGAAATGGGTAAAGGGGGTCAAAAGGTAAAAACTTACAGTTATAAGATGCATATGTTCTGGGAATGTTCTGTACAGCACAGTGACTATAGCTAACAATACTGTATTGAATTCAATACAATACTGCATTGTATTTGAAAGTTGCTAAGAGATTAAATCTTAAAAGTTTGCATCACGAGAAAAAAGTTGTGTAATTTGGTCAGGTGATAGATGTTAATTTATTTTATAATCATTTTGTATTCATTTTATGATATATACACAGATCAGATTATTATGTTGTATACCTTAAACTAATACAATGTTATATGTCAGTAAAAAATGCAGCGATCAAAAAAAAACAACACTAAAAGAAGTGTCAAGATCCTGGGACTGAGCAGCTGATTGGTCGAGCCTAATTTGTGTTCTTGCCTCCAAGCTTGTGCTGCGATGGAGAGGAGGAGGGTCTTGTATCTGGCCTTCATGGTGGGACGTTAGCCTTATCTTCCACTAGAATTCTCTCAATTGGGGTTCTCTAAGAATGTGTGTGTGTGTGTGTGTGTGTGTGTGTGTGTGTCTGTGTGTCTGTGTGTGTGTTGGGGGGTGGAGAGTTAGCTGATGAACCATTTCCACCTTTAAATTTCTTGTTATGTGAGAAAATAATCTTTTACTTTTAGAAGTTGATCTTACTATTTTTCTGTTATTTGTAACCAAAAAATTCCTAACTTCAACAGCCTACAAGTATATACATTTAGTGAAGGTAGAGATTAGTGTAGGGCTATGTGAGATAGAGATGTTATTCTGCCTCAGTAGATTTCCCTTCCTTCTGACTTCTGAATGACCAAATCTTTCCCATTCTCTATGGCCCAGCTTAAATGCCATATTCTTTACTAAATATATGAAGCCATTTATCCCATTTCCTGTGTCTTCCCCCTACCCTCCCACCATAAACATGATCCTGAATCTTGTGTTGAATTTTGCTTTTCTTCTTTTTTTAAAAAAATTTTTTTAATGTAAATTTCAGAAAGGGAGAGAGAGGGAGACACAGAATCTGAAGCAGGCTCCAGGCTCTGAGCTGTCAGCACAGAGCCTGACGCAGGGCTTGAACCCACGAACTGCAAGATCATGACCCGAGCTGAAGTCGGACACTTGATTGACGGAGCCACCCAGGTGCCCCTTGCTTTTCTTCTTTTTTAAAAACTAGTGTTACTGAGTCTATTCACATTCCTAAAAAGTCCACTTTAATTTTAATTTCTTTGAACTTTACAAAAATAGATCTTGATACATATAGTCTTTTGGATTTACTTTTTCCTACTAATATTGTGTTGCTAAGATTCACTCATATTGTTGTGTGCTTCAGCTATTTATTTTTGTGTGACAAATTACCCCCAGACTTGGTAGCTTAAAACAGCACACGTTCTTTATCTCCCAGTTTCTCTGACTCATGAATCAGGGCACAACTTAGCTAAATCTTTTACTTTAGTGTCTCTCATGAGGCTACAGTCAAGGTGTTGCTTGGGACCACAGTTATCTCAAAGCTGACCTGGGGCAGATCCACTTCCAAACTCTATCAATGATTGTTGTCAGAGTTAAGTTCCTCATGGGCTAATGGATTCAGGACTTCCATTCCTTACTGGCTGTTGGCCAGAGGTTGCCCTCTGTTTCTTGAGAGGTGGCCCTGCCCATCATACTATGTGAGAAGAACCAGGGAGAGAATACCAACAAGACCTAAGTCACAGTCTGTTATAACTAAATTATGGAAATAACATCCCATCACTGTTGCTATATTCTCATTAGAAGAGAGTTGCTATATCCAGCCTGCATTCAAAGGGAGGGAATTACACAAGGGTATGAATACCAGGAGGCAGGGTGAGGGTCATTGGGAGCCGTGTTATAAGCTGACCACATGGTATCACCCTAATTTATTCATTTAACTACTATATATTATTTTGTGTGAATATGCCACAGTTTATGCTCCTGTTTGTGGGCTTTGTTTTTTTTTCCTGCCTGGGATTTTTGTTGTTTTGAACAGTGATGCTACAAGCATTCTTTTTTTTTTTTTTAATATTTTAAAAAAATGTTTATTTATTTATTTGGAGAGAGAGGGGGAGAGAGAGAGTGCTAGCAGGGGAGGGGCAGAGAGAGAGGGAGAGAGAATCCTAAGCAGGCTTCATACTGTTAGCATGGAGCCGGACTTGGGGCTCAGTCTCCTGAACTGTGAGATCATGACCTGAGCCAAAATCAGGAGTATGATGCCTAACCAACTGAGCCACCCAGGTGCCCCTACAAACATTCTTATACATATGAAGAGGACTGTGCTACTGTTCTCTGAATCATTACCAATTTAATATGTGTTCTGCCAGAAGGAACACTAAGAATTCCATGATTAATTGTACCTGGAATTAATCTCATCCCTTCTGAACTACCATAGCATACTTCATGTCTTATGATACTTAACACTTGTTACCTTTTATCACACTTATTTTGTGCATGTGATATTTTCTCCTTTGAAATAGTCACTGAGGCCAGGAAATAAATTTGATTCTTCTTTGTAATTTACTCAGTGCCTACATAGCACGCAGTATATTAGTAAGCTTTCAGTAAGCATTACTGAGTGAATAATTCTGTCAGTGTCAGTACCTAACGTTTAAAGTTTTAATCTGGCTCTGATAATCTCACTATATTTCTCACTTTTCCCCAACATGGACCCTTGTTTAGGCAGGTGAGTCTCTTTAACATTCTTTTCAATTTCTCTTTCAATCTTTTCCTAATGAATCTAGCCCACATTGATCTGTTTCTTCTTCTGTTCCTGTTGAATTTACTGTTATAATTATTTTCAGCCAGTTAAGTATTTTCATCCTATCTGTATTATCAGCTGACTAATTGAATAAACAAATACTGATTTGTTTGAGAGATTTCTATTACTTTTTTTTTTTTTTTTTTTGGCCTCAGGTAATTTTGGAGTTAATGGAGCCAGACGGACCTCCAGAGTCAGAGAGTTCAGAAAGATCAATATTTTTCTCACAGCAAGAAGATGATGAAGAAGAAGGTGATGATGAAGGAGAATCAAAAGAACCAGAAGAAATAGGCACCCTTAATCCTGTCTTACAACCTGCCCTCACAGGGGATGTAGAAGGTTTGCAGAAGATTTTTGAGGATCCTGAGAACCTTCATCATGAACAGGCCATGCAGCTACTCTTGGAAGAAGACATCATTGGGAGAAATTTGTTGTATGCAGCTTGCATGGCTGGGCAAAGTGATGTGATTAGAGCTTTGGCAAAATATGGTGTGAATCTGAACGAAAAAACCACCAGAGGTATTTTGTTTTTTTTCTCTCATCAGTATTACTTATGACTACCTAAAGATGCTATGTACTATATTTAAAGTTGGATGAATTTGCTATGCCTGCTTATATTTTACATATATTATATACATATGCATATATATGAAAATGTGGGTATCTGTGTACATGATGATATAGCTCAGTAGATAAGTACGTAGACTTCACTCGTGATTAGCAGTGTGACTTGGGCAAGTTACCTAATGTTTCGGTGCTTCCGTTTCCTCATCTGCAAAATGGGGATAATGATTGTATTTTCCTTGTAGGATGCTGTGTGGATTAAAAAAGACAGTAAATATAAATATCTTATCACTGTAATTGGCACATGCTAAGTTGATATATAATAAGTGCTTAACAATAATATTATCACTCCTTTGAAGATTTTTTAGTTTTGTAGTCATGATCTAATTATATCTTTTTGTTCAGCCACCTTTTTTTTTTCAGGTTGCAAATATGTTCATTGAAGAAAATTAAAAATAACAATGACTTCCAGAAAATAGGGAATATGCATTTAAAAACATTTTAAAATATTTTTTAATGTTTATTTATTTTGAGAGAGAGAGAGAGAAACAGAGAGAGACAGAGTATCAACAGGAGAGGGGCAGAGATAGGGAGTCACAGAATCTGAAGCAGGCTCCAGGCTCTGAACTGTCAGCACAGAGCCTGATGAGGGGCTCAAATTCATGAACTGCAAGATCATGACCTGAGCTGAAGTCGGATGCTTAACCAACTGAGCCACCAGGTGCCCCCGCCAAGAATTTTTCTTAAGTATTTATTTATTTTTGAGAGACAGAGTGAGAGGAGGAGGGACAGAGAGAGAGGGAGACACAGAATCCGAAGCAGGCTCCAGGCTTTGAGCTGTCAGCACAGAGCCTGAGGCGGGGCTTGAACTCACAAACCTTGAGATCATAACCTGAGCCAAAGTCGGATGCTTAACTGACTGAGCCACCCAGGCACCCCAGGAATATGTATTTTCTTAATGCTCCCATGGAACATTTTAAAAAATTGATCACAATTAAGTCCATAAAGGAAGTCTCAACAAATATCAAAGAATCTAGAGCATATGTCTTTGTTCTCTAAACATAATTAAATAAGGTTAGAAAGTAGTAACAAAAAGAGAACTGAAAATCCCCTATAATTTGGAAAACAGAAGCACTCTTTAAATTATATGTTGGTCCTAGAATATACACTAGAAATTATGAAATATTTAGGTGACAAGAGGATCACTCCATGTCAGAACCTGTGGAATAAAACTAAAATTTAAATTCTAGCTTAATACATATAATAGAATATAAGAAACATTGAAAATCATAAGCAAGGCATTTAACTCAAGGAGTTAGAAAAAAAGAACAACTGAGTAATCCAAAGAAAGAAGAGTAGGAAAAAAGTAGAAGTAATGATATTGAAAATAAAGAAACAATAGAGAGGATCAACAAAACCAAAATCTGCTTGGGAATGCAAACTGGTGCAGCCACTCTGGAAAACAGTATGGAGGTTCCTCAAAAAATTAAAAATAGAACTACCCTATGACCCACCAATTGCACTACTAGGTATTTATCCAAGGGATACAGGTGTGCTGTTTCAAAGGGACACATGTACCCCAATGTTTATAGCAGTACTATCAGCAATAGCTAAAGTATGGAAAGAGCCCAAATGTCCACTGACTGATCAATGGATAAAGAAGATTGTATATATGTATATATATAGTGGAGTATTACTTGACAATCAAAAAGAATGAAATCTTGCCATTTGCAACTACGTGGATGGAACTAGAGTGTATTATGCTAAGTGAAATTACTCAGAGAAAGACAAATATCATATGGCTTCACTCATATGAGGACTTTAAGACACAAAACAGATGAACATAAGGGAA